GCTGGTCATCAAGTAGTTTTACTGACTGCTGATTGTCACTCTCTTACAGAAGTCAACTCTGCCCAACACTCCTCCTCCTGAATTTGAGGCAGCTGGCAATGGCTTCATCTCTCCACCGTTTCCCCAGGATAGAGGCCCCAGAGGCCCTCTCTTTGCAGGGGATGCAAGAAGCCCTGTTATGAGTAGGCCACCCCCATTTCCTCCACCTCCTCCAGGAAACATGCATGCAGGGCCTCCAGGTTATTTTACATCAAGGGATTTCGCTGGCCCACCCTTCCCACCTGCAGGTCCTCCAGATTATTTTTCTCAGAGGGACTTCGCTGGGCCACCTTTCCTGCCATACCCAGGTAGGCTGTTTTTTAAACCCCATGTATTTGTCAACATATATCTGTGCTTTTCTTATTGCTGTGATAAACACTGGCCAGAACCAACCTGAGGAGGAAAGGGTTTATATGGGTTACAGGTTACAGTCTAGCATAAAGAAAGCCAATGCTTTGTCCCCATCATGTTGTGATATATATTGGCATCTCCCATGTGATGGAGTTACTTCTGACTTAGCATTTCAACCAGGGAAAATGGGTGACATATTCATTCCCATGATGCTTCCTGCTGACTTTGGGATGAAATTAGGGATGTAAGAAGGCTGAAATGCTAGTCAAAAGCAAAAATGGGAATTTAGGCAATGGGGATTCCATCAGGAGCTTCTGGTTGGCAGGCTCTGTTGCAGAGATAGGGGTGTCATATCAGCTAGACTGGTTCACATTGACAGCACATCCAGGGCTGGCAGTCTACTTAAGAACAGCCTGTAGTCAGCAACTGATATACTCAGATATGTCTGCCAGAAGCAGAAACTTGTTGTGTAAAACATGTTTAAACTGGGAACAGACGTTAAAACTTATTTACTGAAGCCCACAGTTCAGAAAAAGCAGATATCTGTTCAAACAGCAGGAACATATTATAGTGGGAAATACCAATATGGAGTCAGGTAGAAATATAAGGGTATTTAATAGGGAAAAGCCTTACTTACAGAGCAACCTAGCCTGCCGGCGTGGCAGCAGTCTGTACCGCAAGTACAAAAGTGAAACCGAAAGAGAAAACGCAGTCCCCCAAAAGTCTCACTCTACGTCACCCTGACCACGCCCTCACAAGCATGGTCAGGCACACCTGTAGCCAGCTCCTAAGTAGGCATGGCTACAGCTTCCTCTACAATTCCCCTTTTAGTCTTTAAAAGAGGATTAAAACTTAACAGAGTAAAGTATCCAAAATTAACAATCATAAATGTAAAATATAAGAAGATACAACAATCTGCTTATGTCACATCCTAACTATCTATTTTAACTAAACCCTAAAGTCATCTGAAAGAGGTGTCCAAGCCTGAATACCTCCTTCATCCCTAAGTAGGTATATACACTATCCTAAGTGACAACAATGGGAAAAGTGGGCATAGCATCCTCCAAGTTACTTCCTGCTAAAATGGGACGATAACATCCTTGTGGGTCCTGTAGGAAGAAAATGTTAGTATAGTAAAAGTCTTGAATGAATTGTATCCAGTCCATGTTAGATGGGATTTGCTTGATTGAAGATCTCGCTTAAAATCCTCAACTTGATTGAAGTCAGTACCTGAAGCTCTGGCAGGAGTGTCAGTTGAAATGGAGCAAGTTGGATCCAGTGCAGTTGAGGAGGTGTGGCCCATTTTCTTTCCGGGGTGTCCAGGGATTGCTGTCAGGCAGGTCTTCATTGGCTGTGTGGGACTCAAACATAAACAGCAGAGAAACGTTTGCTTGTGTATGTACACATGCTGGAGAATGTAATCATGAGAGCATAACAATTACGAGAGGGTGTACACCTTGAGAGAAAGAACCAAGAAAAGACAAAGACAGTCCCCAAATTCTTTTATTTTGTATTACATCAATTGGCTTCTTGATACAATACAGAAACTCCAAAGTTTAGTTAAATAATGTGCTTGGAATTTAGATGAGGAAAGCCAAATCCTCCTTGAAATCCAGCATTGGTTTAATTGAATAGGGACTAGGAAATAAAGAGAAATAGAGTTCTCCGAGTGATAGCTGTAAAGTTTACCATATGGCACATTCCTTTTGTTTGATGGTTATAGCTAACTTCTCTTCTTTAAGTATCTACCCATGTAGTGTCCTTTGCCTTCTGGAGATGAGTTTTCCTGTGAAGATAAAAGCAAAATATTCCCTTTGCTTTGGGGGGGTTTCTATTTAGTTTATGAGATATACCTTAGTAGAATACCTGTCATTTGTCCTCGTTGAGAGGTTTTTCCTTTTCAACTCGAATCTTGATCAACTTTGGTGGTATTCAAAGTTTTTCTTCTTCTGTAGAAACCAATGCAAAACCCCTACCCCAACATAACACATGTCCTGGTTTCCATACAGAGGTTAGTACATCTTTGAAATAAACCGTCTGATTCAGTTCAGCAGTTTTTTTCGTAGTCCAGTGTCTTTCTGTAGCTGTTTGTCCTTTCTCATTGGCATTAAGAAAGTTTAGTGTTAATAAAGCATTATGCAACCTATGTTAGGGGGGTTTAGTCTTCCAAGCTTGTTTGTTGAGCATCTCCT